ATTCATTGGAACCAATTACATTTAAAACATCCTTCAAGCGCTTATAGATAGCTTTAATCAATAACAGCACAAGACATGTTTTTTGAGAGGAGCAATTGAATTCCAGTACTCACTTGTCGATTTTATTTCTTTTGTCCTTATGTAAGCAATGGGTAAAATAAAATGCATCGGTAAATTTCTAGGGTTAAACTGGATAGGGTATACAAACAAATACAGGAAGTCATAATATTTCTACATGTTATTTTTTTCAGGCCTAACACATATTGGGGGGTTATTATATCGTTTAAACGTTCAGTCATTTTTCATGAAGGTAAGTCAATTATGTATCATCAAGAACCAACTTTACCTTTTAGATTCTCAGTGAAATGGAATCTTTCACGCTTAAAGAGCAACGCAACAGAGTCAATATACAATATTCTAATGTCGCTAACACAAAGAACCTCATAGTGATCTAAATACAGAATAGTTGCCAGACCCGTGAAGATCCAGGTTAGAATTGGTATTCAGCAACTCACCCTTGTAAGAGACAACTAACGGGATCGGGTGGTCATACTCTCTGGCTTGGTTGACACATGCTATCGTATCCCAATTGCGTAGATCTATGCTCAGGCTGTTGATGACTGGTTTCTCTGGCCCAGACTCGATCATTTTCAGACCGACGTCATATAGCTGGAATATTGCTGCATGCGGCGTTAAACAACAACCAACCAACACCTGGCAACACATCCTCAGGTGTTTGAAGTTGACAGTGATTCCACTCACTCACTCACTCACTCACTCACTCACTCACCACTCAGGTGTTTGAAGTTGACAGTGATTCCACTCACTCACTCACTCACTCACTCACTCACTCACTCACTCACTCACTCACTCACTCACTCACTCACTCACTCACTCACTCACTCACTCACTCACTCACTCACTCACTACTCACTTGACCAATAGGTCAGTTCCTATCAACCAACCGGACAGACCAAACGCTTTCATTATATTCTTCTTGTAGTCAAAATGAATACTATTGACAGAAAATCTTTGTGTATGTATTCCATCCCATCTAAGACATTGCATTAATCATAAAAAGGTATGCAAAATGTTAGTAAAATGCCATCAGGGGCATGGTGGGCAAGCTGTCTAAGGCGCCAGGCAAGCGATCCAGCGAGCTTGAGGTGCCGGGATCGAGCCCACCTGTGTGACCTGGTGTAAAAACCTTTGAGCCACTTTTGTGTGCAGACTCTTTCAGTGTAGAACCCCTAGTGTACAGTACACAACCCTGTGTACTTAAAAGAACCCACGAATCCATTGGTAAGTGACCAGATGGTGGCCACTTGAATACGTGGAAACACTCACCGCAGCAGTGCAGTAGAACTTGGACAAAGTACTGTGATTTTGTGTCCCAGTCCACCCAACTGTGAATGGCTACGTCGTTATGATGAGAAAGCCACATTAACTCGGTCCGCTGCAAGATTTGTATCACCCCCGGGGAGTTGATAATACGATGTACCATTTGATATTCACTTTCAATGATGGAGGGCGCCTTTAAGCAGCTGAGCTGGATATTGGCGCTGTACAATAATACTGTGTCTTATGGTATTATGTGATGAGCAAGGTTGGGTCATTTGGGTGACAAATTTAAGAAACTGTCTTGGCGAAGAAATGGTAAGCTATTAATATAAATGCATTAAAACAGTAGTTTTAAAGAATTTTAAGTTATGCAAACGTAAATCGAATCCAAGATTGTGATCCATAACCGATTTTAAACGAAGAAAAGTATTTCCGATTTTTTCTGTTAAGTAAGCTAAATATCAATAGTCCTCGATTTCGACAGAACAGTTATAGTTCAGAAAATAAGTGCCGTAGACATTACAATGTATCGTGTGTAAGAAAATGTAGTGTAACTAAACATTGTTTTTATCATGGCAGTATTAAACAAGAAGAATTAATATGGGGAAATATGTGTAATACGCACATGAAGTAAGAAGTAGAATTTTAACTGTTTACCAGAGACACACCTCTTCACACAAAATCATTTGGCGTAGATATATTGGAAATATATTTTTTGAAATATGGTAACATTTTTTTAATCCTGAAACTGTCGACGTTTCAGCTCAAAAGCTTTTAAGGGGATCATTTTAGTCATCCTTCCCATATGCATTATGTGACGAGGGTCAAAACCCATTACTCAAACATAGATTACCTTTTTGCACGTAACATAATGTCCTGGTAAAGCTCACATATCCATTGAATTGTCATCGTTTTGCTTTTAAAACAGCACTTGTTGAACCTAAAAAAGGTAAATCATCGATTTGTCCGGTATACCAGTTAATGCTTCACAATACTCAAATTTAAGAGACATTGGCAATATCGACTACCTCATTACTCTAACATTTTCATAGTAATAAATACAAGAGCAAATGGTATCTACGCGTTTCGGTATGTAACTGAAACGTTCTGCCAATGTTATAGTGGCACTGAAGATAAGAAATTAGAACAGTTACAATTAGAAGCTGCACTCAACATATTACTAAAGTGGTAGGGATCTCATAGTCGAGCTAAGAAAGAAATGTAACTTTTTCTTCTTCAAAATCTATAGTAATGTAACTCCGTCTTATCAAATATTTACTGTACCAAAGATCGTTGCTACAAAAACTTCCCAGGTACTTTGAAACAGTGAAAAAGGAAATACAGTATGTATAGACATATGACTGTTTTATGTGGAAATGTGAGTCCACTGTGCAAATATTTACTTGCTTGGTTTATTGTTTAACGCCGCACTCAGCAATATTCCAGATATATCCTGATCCCGTTAGTGAAACATTGGTTAGACAAGCATGGGTTGCTTTGTAGTATCATATATGTATAGAAAGAGCGTGAAGAATACTACCTTATTGTAAAAAGTCATTTAGATGTAGTGAGAATAATTTGTACAATTAGTAGCGAACTGCGTGACAATGCATCTCATAAATCACACATTCGAGAGCCTAATATTATTTTACAGTAGTAAGTTAGATAGTGTGTGAGTGGATTTAGAACTTCCAATTTTGAAGCCTATGAGCCTTGTCTTAATGAAAAACATCGGGCATTTTACGTGTTGATTCCGAAGTTGAAACAATACGTTGACCAGAAATCAGTCTGTAAATGAAGTCAGTTTGAAACCTACAAATAACAAAGAAATGTAAAATGATTAAAATTGCATTCTAAATATATCTCAGAATATAAATCGCTACAAACTACTGTGGAAATTCAGTGGAAGTGCAACTTCAGTTTGCAATATCATATAAGCAGTGATTATTGTTATTCTTATTGTTATTAGATATTTATATAGCACACGTATCCACGCACTAGTGCATGCTCAAGGCGCTGGTATTTTTCCCCTCGATCATTGGATGTGAATTTCAACGGCACATCTTATTATCTCAACTCTCTGGGGAGCCTACAACTTTTGCTGCCACAAGGCGCACCGAGTTATTGCGGCTTTCCCATCCTTACGATTATAGTAATAACGACAGTAATGGTAATATTCGCCTCGCTGCAGCAATGGTCAAGCTTTAACAATAGGCCAAGGCTGAGACTCCAGGGTGAGAGATGATCTCCGCACAGCTGCTGGGGCTCTTGTGATGTGAGACGCCCAGAATATTCTCCAACATGTCATACAAATACAGTTTCATAATGAAAGTCACTGCAATTTGAGACTCACTTAGTAACAACCCACCCTTCCGTCATTTTAACACCCTTTTTAATCCTCATTAGACTTTGTATGTTCCTCAAATTCTATCAGTATTCAGCAGCATATTACAATTGCAAATTTATATATTTCTGCAAGAGGTGTTTTCAAACTCGCTGATGTACCATCCAAGCATTCAACACAGCCTGATGCCAAGTGAAATCAACGAAAAGAAAAGGCTGATGCTCCCTGCTTCGCATATAAAGAAGCCATCCTAGCAATTCAACATCACTATACAAAATACACAAGCACATACTTGGATGACTGAAAAATATAGCAACACGGTATCTGCTGCAGCGGTCACACTTGTTGGCATTTTATAATTACAATTGACTGTTCTTTACAGAGGCAAAGGTAGGCAGTTTACCCGGCATATATACGTTCGGAAACCGTAAATTGGAGACTCCTTTTAACTTTAAAATTTCAAAATTTTGTTTGATATAACAGAAATGTTTAAGCACATTCTGAAGCTAAAGCTCCTCTTCAAGGGTGAGTGAGTGACTGAGTATTGTTTTACGCCACGTGTTGAAAATTCCAGAAATATCACGGCGGGGGACACCAATAATGGGCTTCACACGTTGTACCCATGAGAGAATCGAACCCGGGTCTTCAGCGGACGCTTTAACCACTAGGCTGCTCAACCGGCCCTTAGAAGTCGGTGAATGACGACCTAAAACTGAACTGTGTTCGTGTATGTATTGAAAGATGATTCAGGTCATTTCAGGTCAATCTTTTCAACTTAAAATGAACCACATTTACTTCTTTCTATTAGAATATTATGAAAGTGCACCCATGAGATGACATCCCCAATATATCTATCTTTAGAAGAAAGATACGTCATACACGGTTTACAACTCCCACGCCGTATGTTGTACATATGTACCGAACACCATCAGCTTTGTTTCATTAGGATTGCTAATTGAGCATACGCTAATACAATCTTGGGATAATGAAACAAGTGGAAGTTCTTTTTGCATATATAATACTGCACCCAACTCTGAGGCTGCCTATATGATAATATGACACACGTCAGTTATTTAAGCACGGGCCAATTAAATCTTGGTACACTTGCAATTCATGTCAATAAGTAATAAATGGTTTAAAGAAATTGATTAACCGTTTGTTTTCCTCCGTGGATACTTCCCACAGATAATTGTTGTTTGTCGATACTTCCAAGGTGATTTGTTCGATATTTGTTCCTACACCACCATAGATGTTCCAAAGTAATAGGGACAGACAGACCTGTATTAAAGCAGCTGATTCTAAGATCTTCTGAATTTGAATATGGAGTTGCGGTACAGCATCAACATTATTACAGGTAAATATACCTGACATTTATCTATACCTAACCCTCCTGGATCAATGCATGTGGTTCTTCAAACTTGCTTTGTCTGTATGCTACAACCCTGGACACAATATGTCCACTGTGTGTCGTAAAAGGCGAACAATTGAGTCTACCCTGGGTTGCGCCCCGTCTCGGGGAAAGAAGGGAGGGAGTCAAGTGTTGGGTGGCACTGGAGCCAGGAACAACGCTCCTTTGCCCAGCACTCTACTTTGACTTGGACTTTGGTACTTTTATTTGTCTAAACGGTTGTGTCGGTTCCATCAATCTGCTGGTCACTCCATGTCCTGGTTATGGTCAACTTTAATTTTGATTTTATCTTCTTTTCAACATATTAGTAATGATAAGTTTCACGTTTTGAATATGATATGAATATGCCTAGAGTTTTATGTCAGAAGGCTCATCGCCTAATCTGATGTTATCGACCTCATAGTCATCAGTCTACTGTCCGTAGTGGAACCAACTTTAGTCTTACCCTGTTTGGGGGCGGTGGGGCAGCCTAGTGGTTAAAGCGTTCGCTCGTCACGCCGAAGGCCCGGGCTCGATTCCCCACATGGGTACAATGTGTGCAGCCCATTTCTGGTGTCCCCCGCCGTGATATTGATGTAATATTGCTGAAAGCGGCGTAAAACCATACTCACTCACTCACTTACCCTGTTTGACAATGACAACTTCCTGTCGTTTCTCCTCTGGAGTAAACATGCATACATGCAACCCGGGTGTTTGTAGTTGTACTGAAACAACGTCTTCACTGGCACTCCATGGTGGTTGGAGAGGAGGGATATGGAATTACATTTCCTTTATTACGGCTATTTCACAATTAACTGGTTCTCAATACAAAATAAAAATAACGGAAATCATATTGATGCAGATACTGCAGACATCTTTGAATGATGAATTTGTACTTATTACTGACCAATAGGCATGGTTTCCCGTTCTTGAAGGTGTTCGTGGTGGGGCCTTAAAATCGACCTCCCCTTTCATTTATCTCCTGTCTGGTTCCTTGCTTGTTGAGACAACAGTCTCAATATGTGCTCAATGCACATCAGTTTTCAAATACTCAGATTACTGTCTCAGTCCACGAAACTTTTAGTTCACATGAAGGCATTGTATTTGACCATAAATTTGTGATAGCATGACATAGATTGTGACAGCACCATATAACCCAACCCGTCCCTATCTACATTTGCATTTACAACATCCGTTCTCCTGTCAAAGCTACGCACCCCACTTCGTAGTGTACACTGCATGATGGATATACCAAATCTCTTTTTCATTCGTAGGTATAATTGTTACCATCATTTAATGTTTCTACCGCACATTAAATATTTGAAGTTTAAATGTCTGAAGCCCTTTGGTTTGTTGATAAAAATCCAAATTCTGATGAGCATTTTGCTGTTTTAATCTTTGTCATTATGAAGGCCTCCGACCAAAGTTGCTTAACTTCAATTGATTTGTGACCTGAGCTCTAGGCAGGGTTGGTGACACAGTTACAAGCGCAACTGTTCTATTATTGGGTTGCACAATAGTAAGTCCAAACCAGTTAGAAAATGATAAATTAGATGGTGTAAATATATTTTACAGGTTTCTACTTACTAGTCTGTGGTTCCTCCACCAACATCAACATCATTACAACCGGCAACCTCGTCAAATACAGCACACACGACTACGGCGTTGACGTCAAGAATATCTCATCGATTCTCTTTCGGGTCAAGGGGTGCCCCGATGGTAGGATAAATCTCTTTGAAGGTCCTGACTTTACCACTGCCAAGAATGCATATGTTTTGCTCGGCGGTTGGGGAAATCATAAAAGCGTTATGCATCCGTGCACTGGCTGTACAACTCTAGAATCAGAATGGGTCGACTCCGTCTTGAACTGCAATGGAATGAGGCCAATGTGGATGAACTGGACTAATAGATCGTTTAGCATTGGGAACGGGGCTTATGTTGGAGAAGAGACCTTCATCTCCATAGATGAACCGAGGGACTTTGATATCCAGTATATGTCAGTTGGATCTTCTTATGACGACATATTTGAATGGGAATTCGGTAAGTATAATCACAGCTCGGAGACACCGATGTGTCCTGAGATGTTTGAATGGCATTTAGAAGTCTTACACATCAGAAGATAATTTTATGGATTTCAACTTCTGTGAGGAACACAAGGTTTCGGAGTACATTGTATATCCTTACTCCTTCATTTCACTCCTTAATTTCACTTGATGAAGGAGTAAGTATACATGAACGTAAAATTCCTAAAATTCCTTATGCCTTGAGATGGTGCGGTTGTAGATATTTCATGGTTAACATAACTATGCTTTGTTTAGATGGCTACGGCGGAAATTACTTTGAGCGGGTGGTGCCTTATGGTTGGAGTACTCGACAAATGTTGTCTTCAGTGACGGCCTCCTCTATGGTAAACTGCATCAAAAGTTGCAAAGGCAGGATCAGCTGTAGGTCGATCAGCTATCAGAACACGACCAACACCTGCCAGTTATACTTTGAACAATCACGATCCGTTGATATCCATCCTGACAACACTTGGGAAACATGGATGGACAGAAACATGTGAAAGACGCTCTCGGAGTCTACACTGGACAATGAGGTTATGTCCTGGTTTTCTATTCGAGGAAGAATCAAACTTGGGTGTATCTTAGTCATCTAGGAGTGATGTCATTAAAGTCCAGCGTACCACTCTGAATTACTGTACAGCACTTCCGTCGATCTCTCCGTCTAATGACATCAAGACGTCACTGGTGAGCCTCTTCAGGCCTCGTGAGATAAACATTCGTTAACTTGTTTAAAACCTTATCATACACAGTTTCTAATATTACTGAAGACAGTTTACTCATTTTGCAAAATTCTAGGCTGAATAAGAATCATGCATGTGTGTTAATTAATAGCTTAATGAATCAACGATGTACTTTTGAAAGGTAATTGTGTGATTATAGATTCCCAATTCCTTACCTCTTGATGCACTGACGAGTGCAGTCATATTTTGGTAATAGTGCTGACTACACGGGGAAAACCTATATCTTTAATGGCAAGTTAACACATTAACTTTAAATACTTCAAAATGACAAATGCTTGCCTACGTTAAGGTTGTAAACGGAAGTGACAGAACAGGCGATAAATAACCGTCCACAAACGCAAAAAGAAATCCTCTTTTGATTTCCTGTGCAACTTGTACTGAGCGGAGGACTCACAGTCTACCTGCTTATATTTTTTTTTTGCTACCTGGCCCGATTTTTTACTTAAGTTAAAGTTTTCACTCAAATTTGAGAAAACCCAAACGTAGTAGATAATTTGAGTTTGATGGATGGATTAGTTACATTTTTTAAAATGCAGTTGAGTTAAAAATTCTGCTGTTTCAAATTGTCAAACTCAGTTTAAATTTTGAGTAAAAACTTAAGTTTGTTTCGAGAAAACACACACACACACACACACACACACACACACACTAATCAATATTAGAACCTTGACAGACACACTATTTCTAATGATTGTGAGCTGGGTAATGTATTTAGTTTCTTGTTGTGATACGTGATGTTGGCTTCCGACGTGAAAAATGTGGTCATGGTACGTCAAAAATGGTGAGCAGTGAGTCACATGATCACCTTATCGGTTGCACGTGCATGGATTGCAAGCACACAGACATTGCTTAACAGTAAACGCATCAGCGTTACAAGTTGTGAAAAGCGAGCATGCGCGACTCACAAATCAGCAACATGAGAGTGGCAAGTGTAGGTTTAGTGCTGGACAATCGGTAGCAGCATCTGCACAAGCCCTGGGTTGTACATAGTCCTCAGACAATACACAGTCTGGGAAACCTGCATGCAAGAGACGGGCAGCAGTGAACATCGCCCAAGGACCAAGATGGCGTACAAATTAGTTTACGTCATCTCCGCAACAGATTTGTGACTGCAGTCACCACTAGCAGACAGTTGTTCACAGGCCATCAAGAAGCGACTTGGTATGGGAGTGTGACCGATTTCGAGTGGCAAGCGTAATGGTGTGGGGGAATTTGTGTCAGCGGTCGAGCTCAGTAATTATTGTCGTACAGGGCAATCGTACTGCCATACTGTATCCGATCCCAGTCCTTCAGCCAGCCAACCAGCTGCATGGTCCCAGACTGACATTTCAACATGTCAACGCGACGCAGCATACTGCAGGTTTCATTCGCAACCCTCTTACATAACGCCAGTGTTCATGTCAAGGAGACTTGAACCGAAGCGAACACATTTGGCATGAAACGAGGAAGATAAGTGCGACAGCAGGTGAATCAACCCCCACACCTTGCAAGACCTTTGGCAAACGGTCTTTGACCAATGGCAACGGTTTTAGGTTTGAGTGTGCTCTCCTGTTCGTGAGGAGTTGTGTTTCCGTCACTTCAATCCTAGGAGGTAACACCCGTTTTTGTCTTCTTCTGTTCCAACAGTTGTAACAGTGTGAAGTTCGTGTTGGGAGTTATACAAACCGAAACATGAGTCTCATTAGCCTATTCAGACAATGATCTACTTTTCAGCAGATCCGAATTTTCTCATCTGAAAGAGAAAATAGACATCACAAACAACTATGGTTACACTGAATTCCAATTCCTTGTTTCATCAGAAAATGGTATTTACAAATGAATTTTAATTTTAAACTTTTATAACATCGCATTGATATATATAATGGCGATGTGTAGGCAGCACGACCTCAACTAAGACGTCACAGACTGCCCCTATTTGATGAGGTCGTAAAATGATTCACAATGCATCTGGCTCACTGGTTACACCTGTTATGTGTTTCTTGCGCTTATTCAGAGTAGTTCTGTAACGCACAATATGATTGAGATAATATCAATTCCGTACCAGACCGCCAAACGTTTCTAGCGGCAGAGCCTCGTTTTGAGATTTCCACGATTTCCAGGTTTCCGTTTGTCAGAGCTCGCTGTACGACAGAGCACGCTGCACGACGTGTTTGCAAGTATTAGAAGGAGCGTAGTGTTGCAATATACAAGTGCTTAGATGTATCAAATAATACTGATTAATATTTATGTATCCAGTTAAATGAATTGGTCTCAAACTTCTGGACTGCTTATTGTACTAAGTTGCGCAATAGGACGGAACCCAGTCAACAGGAAACGAGACTGTTGTGTAATCAATGTTTTGATTTGGGACGTCACACGTTTCTCCATTACAATGATGCCGCAAGTGTAGTTTCATTGTCTTATTGTGACCTACGTGATAGCTGTATGATACACAATGTCATCTAGTTTTATAATAATGCACTCACTATTTCCCCCGTGTGCTTCAATGAGTCACTTTTTAATTTTGACTGTGTGGATATATATTTCTCATGCGCGATTTATAATGAATAAACTTGATTGTGTATATATTTTTCCCATGTACGAATTGTAGTGTATATTTTCCTTTTCCATATTTCATGTTTCCTCATTCGTGAATTGTGCATTTCCCATAGACAATGTCATTTAATAATGTCAGCATTTGGGCTATCTGTGTTCATATCGTTCATGCGATTAACACAAAATAAACCTATACAGATAAAGTCCAATAAGGGGGCGTGGGGTGGTGGGGTAGCCTAGTGGTTAAAGCGTTCGCTCGTCACGCCGAAGACTCGGATTCGATTCCCCACATGGGTACAATTTGGGAAGCAAATTTCTGATTTTCCCCCGCCGTGATATTGCTGAAATCCTGCTAAAAGCGACGTGAAATTCAATTACTCCCTCACAGTAGAGGGAAATAACAACTTGGCGTACTCCAACGGCGCCTACCTTTTGGCGAGGAGGTTATCTTTCTCTGGTTGAAAAAGATATTCTAGTTTTTTTCTCAAGTAGATAGCGTCAGCCTAACTGAATTTGATTGACTGCTCATGGTAAACAAATTGTTCACTGTCGCTAGGAACCTGTCCTCGAACCTGTCCAATCCTGAGTTGAATTAACTTTCTAATGAAGTACCGGGAACTCCTCTGTCATGAATCTATTGGACTAACCAAGCAATCATCAAAATCTCGTAACAGATACTTTATTCCTATTTTATTTACTCATAATGTCAAGGTCAAACGTTTCACGCCTTTGATATAATGATTGTATGAAATGTTGTTATCTTTTTCACAATGTCAAGGTGAAAGGTTGTTTCACGCATTTAACATAATTTAATGTTGTTATTTATGATGCTTTAGGTAAAACATGTTGTTATCCTTAGAAGCAATCTCTTATCTGAACTGTAATTTGTTTTGCAAAATGTCGGTAACATGTGCTCAATGTATACTTGTATTACTTGTATATGGGCCTTTAGTACAATAAACATACTCACTCACGGACTCATTGTCTTACTGGGTTATAACTGCACAATACACAATGTCATGTATTTGTATAATAATGCACACACTATTTCCTCTGTGTGCTTCAATGGGTCACTTTTTATATTTGATTGTGTGTATATATATTTCTCATGGTTTTTAATGTACATTGTCTTTTTCCAAATTTCATGGTTCATCATCCGTGAATTGTGAGTGAGTGACTATGGTTTTACACCGCTTTTAAGCGGCTATTTGAAATCCGTCTAATATTTTCAATATATCAAATAGAAACGACAAAATTCTTTCCACGCCCACAAAAAATCTCTGTGCATATCGTGCTCTACCGGTGGCACCCGTCATAAACATATGCTAGTCAATTATTCACCTGAAATAATTCAGGAACGTATGGTATAAGTCAAAATAGGGAATCGCATCGTACGTCATTTTTGGTACTGATGCATCAAATTTGGAAATGTCCTCCACATGTCTACCATAAAACTTCTTGAAAGCTTTACTGAGGCCTTGAATGGTGTAACTTTGATTAAACAACTTCTGAGCGAGAGTGGTTTGATCCTCTTTGAAATCCTGATAAAAAGAGCACGCTCGATTGTGCCTCAAACGTTGTGAAATGTAAACACCGAAGGCTGGAACTGTTGGAATATTGCTGGACATGAAAGGGAAGTTGACTGTTGGGAAGTTGAAATTATCCCTTTTGTGATACAGCCTTGTGGAGAGCTTTTTGTCACTCTGAATCTTTAAGCATAGAACTGAATATGAAAAAGTTAATGCCATGCTGTCTCAGTGTTTGAATAGTCAGTGCACTGTATTTATTAATGAAACAAACCATTCTATTATGGAACCTTTGGTGGACAATGGGAAAGACGCACAAACACTTTCTCCACAGTTGACTGTAACACGCAGACATGAGTGGTAGAGGAACCAGTTATTAACTATAATGCTTCAAAGGGAAGTATATTATTATTTTGTGAGGACCAGTTAAATATGCATGTATTTAATCTCTGGAAACATGTTCTTATGTATATTAACAAAATACAAGAAGCAAAACTACACGTTTACAAAATTGATTTTTTTAATTGCAAAAGGAATGCATTACTACTTTTACACCGTAATACAACCTCACGGTTATCGTGAAGGTTCGGGTTATAATTGATCTTAAGCAACCCATGCTTGTCGTTAGAGGCGACAAACTGGATCGGGTGGTCACACTCACTGACTTGGTTGACACATGTCATCGGTTCCAAATTGCGTAAATGTATGCTCATGCTATTGATCACTGGATTGTCTGGTCCAGACTCGATTATTTAGAGACCGCCGCCATAAGGCTGTAATATTGCTGAGTGCGGCGTTAAACAACAGGCAACCAGCATCCAGCAAAGCTCACTCACTCACATGACCAAGAGATCTGTTCCTATCAACCAACCGAGCAGACCAAACGCTGTGTGTTATTTTCTTCTTGAATTCAAAATGAATATTTAAAGAAAATACTACTGACAGAAAATGTTTGTATATGTATCCCATCCCATCTAATACATTGCAATGATCATAAAAGATGTGTCAAATAATAGTAAATTGCTTTTTTTCTGTCAAGTAAAATAAACATCAATAGTCCTTGATTTCGACAGAACAGTTATAGTTCAGAACATAAGTGTCGTAGACATCACAATGTAGCGTGTGTAAGAAAATGTAGTTGTAACTATAGTCCGTTTAGCTCAAAAGCGGACCGATGAATTGCAATCTAACTCGAAAACTAATAAACAGAAAATAATCAATGAAACGCTGATCATAATCAAAACATCATACCCAAAATAAAAAAGTTGTTTAACAATCTATCATTAAAATATTGACACAGTTCACTATTTGTTACGAGGGAGGAGTGCAGAAAAAGGGACAGCCAGGTGTTCGAGAACGGATGGAGACGGCACAGCACAGGTTAATGAATAAATAACTTTGTCTGTGAACGTGCTTCTCGAACACCTGGTTGTCCCTCTCTCTGCACTCATCCCTCGTAACAAACAGTGAATTGTGTCAATATTTTAATGATAGTTTGTTAAACAACTTTTTTATTTTTAGGACAAAAATTCTGCAAAAACCTCACAGAGTGGGTATGATGTTTCGATTATGATCAGTGTTTCATTGAGTATGTTATGTTTATTAGTTTTCGAGTTAGATTGCAATTCATCGGTCCACTTTTGAGCCAAACGGACTGTATACATGTTTTTATCATGGCAATATTAAACAAGAATAGTTAATATAGGAAAATATTTGTAATACGCACATGAAGTAAGAAGTAGAATTTTAACTGTTTACAAGAGACACACCTCTTCACACAAAAGCATGTGGCGTAGATATATTGGAAATATATTTTTGAAATATGGTGACATTTTTTAATCCTGAAACTGTCGACGTTTCCGCCCAAAAGCTTTTAAGCCGATCATTTTGGTCAATCCTTCCTATATGAATTATGTGACGAAGGCCACAACCCATTACTAAAACATAGATTACCAATTTGCATGTAACATAATGTCCTGGTAAAGCTCACATATCCATTGAATTGTCTTCGTTCTGCTTTTTCAACTGCCTTTGTAGAACCTGGAACAAAAAGGTAAATCATCGATTTGTCCGGTATACGAGTTGACGCTTCACAATACGCAAATTTAAGACATTGGCAGTATCGAATACCTCATTCCTCAAACATTTTCAAAGTAAACAATTCAAGTGCAAATGGTATCTACGCGTTTTTGTATGGAACTAAAACGTTCTGCCAGTGTTATATTTGTCAATACTGATGCATTTATTGACTTTTTAATAGCTTTGAAAACGATGGAGAAACCTTAAAATGCAATAATAGACCCTAACGAAATCGAATCATGGATTGAAATTTTGTTATGCGACTCTTGCTCAAGCGTTCTTTGACAAAAAAAATTGTAATTCAGTAACAGTATATATAAGTGTGGGATGATTGCGCTGAAGATCGGAAAAAAGTAACAGGAAGAAAAGAAACGGATTTTGCTAGGAAAAGTTGTTTATACTATCAAGTAAGCTGAGTATGTGAGAAGTTGCTCAGTAAAAACAAGTAACAACTTAAATAAGATGATCAAAGCTCATCCTAATCTGAATGAGGTGTTTATATAAGTATTTATATAAAAACTGTTACTTTTGTTCCTGTTACTTTTTTTCCGTTACTTTTTTTCCTGTTTTTCTTTTTCCTGTTACTTTTTTTCCTACATTCAAATATTTACTCTACCAAAACCGTTGCTACAACACTGTTCAGACAACAGCAAAAAAGGAAATACAGTATATACACAGATGATTTATTAACGGACTGTTTTGTGTGGAAATATGAGGCCACTGTGCAAATATTTAGTTGGTTGGTTGTTTGTTGTTTAACGCCGCACTCAGCAGTAATCCAGCTATTTGTAAATATCTGTATCGATCTGTGAATAATCGAGTCTGGACCAGACAATCCAGTGACTAACATCATGTGCATTGATTTACGCAATTGGGATATGATGACATGTGTCAAGCAAGTCACCGAGCCTGACCACCCGATCCCGTTAGTCGTCTCTTACGGCAAGTATGGGTTACTGAAGATCAATTGTAACCCGGATCTTCACGGGTCTGGAAATTCAACATCACTATACTAAATACACATGTTCGCACTTTATAATTAAGGTTGACTGTTCTTACGGTAGAGGCAAAAGATGTACTATCGATATTTTATCCTGCTTACATGCGTTCGGAAACCGGAACATTGGAGAGCCTTTTTAAATTTTAAAGTTGATATAACCGGAAATATTAAAGCACTTTCTGAAGCTAAAGATCCTCTTCAGCGTGAGTGAGTTGAGTTTTACGCCGCACTCAGCAATATTCCAGCTATATGGCGGCGGTCTGTAAATAATCGAGTCTGGACCAGACAATCCAGTGATCAACAGCATGAGCATCGATCTGCGCAATTGGGAACCGATGAAATGTGTCAACCAAGTCAGCGAGCCTGTCGCCTCTTACGACAAACATAGTCGCCTTTTGTGGCAAGCATGGGTTGCTGAAGACCTATTCTACCCCGGATCTTCAGAGTGACCAGCGGACGCTTTAAACCATTAGGCTACTCCATCGCCCCTCAGAAGTCACGAATCACGACCTAAAAATGGGTGAGTGAGTAAGGTTTAACGCCGCTGTTGGCAATATTCCAGCAACATCACGGCGGGGGACACCTAAAAGATACATAAGTTCATTTCACGATAACTTTTTAAAACTTTATATTGACATTACACATTATACTGACTCCGAGCCGACCAGTCCTTGTTGTACCCATTAATGCCGAGCGCCAGACAGGGACCAACAAGTACCATATATTAACATCTTTTGGTATGACGCGGTCGGGGATCGAACCCGCGACCTTCCACTCTAGCCACTACACCACGGAGACGGTTGAACAACATTAGAAACGCACCACCCATATATTACGAAATATCCCTGTAAGACTGAAATGTACCCATGATATCTGAGCATCGTCGGTGCATTTTAGTGTGCGCGTTTCTAATGTTGTTCAGTATATATTAAGTTAAAAAGTACCAAATTCACCTGACCTCACCAAGATCCAACCAATGTATCTACCTTTACAAGAAAGGTGTGCCATTCACGGTTTACAACTGAAACTCACACGCCATATGTCGTACATATTTATCGAACACCATCAATATTTTTTACCAGGATTGCTAATTGAGCATACGCTTATACAATATTGAGATGGAGAAACAAGTTCTTTTTTGCATACCTTTAACCTTATACAGCACCCCCCACCGAAGCTGCCCATATAATGATATAACACCCATCAGATATTTAAGATATCTTGGTACACTTGCAATTAAGGTGAATAAGTAATCAATGTTTTACAGATATTGATTATCCGTTTGATATTATCCATGGATACTTCCCACAGATAATTGTTGTTTGTCGATACTTCCAAGGTGATTTGTTCGTTATTTGTTCCTACACCACCATAGATGTTCCAAAGTAATAGGGACAGACAGACGCTTCTCGACGTGAGACGCGGAAAACAGGCCTGTATTAAAGCAGCTGATTCTAAGACCTTCTGAATGTGAATATGGAGCTGCGGTGCAGCATCAACATTATTACAGGTAAATATACCTAACCTATACCTAACCCTCCTGGAACAATGCATGTGGTTCTTCAAACTTGCTTTATCTGTATGCTACAGCTCTGGACACAATGTGTCCACTGCGTGTCGTAAAAGGCGAACAATTGAGTCTACTTCAATTTTCATTTTATCTTCTTTTCAACATGTTAGTAATGAAAGTCTTCACACTTTGAATATGATGTGATTTTGCCTTGAGTATTATGCCAGAAGCACCATCGCCCAATCTGATGTTATCGACCACATGGTCATGAGATTGCTGTCTGTGGTGGAACCAGCCTTTCTTTTACCCTGTTTGACAATGACAAATACCTGTCGTTTCTCTTCTGGAGTAAAACATACATGCAGTCCTGGTGTTTGTAGTAGTTTTCTACTGAAACAACGTCTTCATTGGCACTCCATGGTGGTTGGAGAGAAGGGATATGGAATTACATTTCCTTTATTATTATTCCTATTTCACAATTAACTAGCTCTCAATAAAATACAACTAACGGAGGGCATTTTGATGCAGATACTGCAGATATCTTTGAATTGATCAACGGGCATGGTTACTCATTCTTGAAGGAATTAGTGTTCGGTCCTTAAAATGAACCATTTTGTAGAAATGTGGAAACGTTGCACAATTTCATTCATATCAGGACTGGTTCCTTGTTTGCTGAGACAACAGTCAATACGTGCTTAAGGTACATCAGCTTTCTCGACGCTTTTAATTCATATGAAGTCATTGTATTTGACCATGCAGTTGTGACAGCATTATATACACCAGCCCCAACCTTACTACATTTACATTCACAGCATCCCGTCCCCTCTTAAAGCCAGGTATTCCACCTCGTAGTTGTGTACTGTAAGCTGTATATTGAAGCATAAAATTCTTAAGCTTTGAAATAATATTCAAATTCAAAGTTGTGAGGGTTCATCAATCCCTTCTACAATGTCACAGAACCTTGATCCTTTCTAGACTTGAATATGGTTCCATGGTTAAATTAATTAGATTCTATCCATCACCGAGGTCTTAGGCTTTTGCCTTGGAGCCTCCAGACCTTTACCGATTCATTGTCCGTATTAGGATACTGATGAGACGTCCCTAGAACAAAGAGATGGATCATCTTTGCAATACGTTCTTAATAACTAAATACAACCAGCATTTGGCTGTTTTAATCTTAATCTTCATGAAGACCTCAATAGAAAAATGTCATTTTTTCCGTCACTTGAAATAAGAATGCAACCTGATACTTCTACTGCTAAAATAATATCTTGAAAACATAGCCCAAGCTCAGATTTTGTCATCTCCAAAATGACATTTATAAAACCCGGAGGTGGACCTGACATAATATGAGCTAAAACCAACTACATTAATATATTTACAACTAGATAATAGTGTGTATTTATAAAGCGCACATATCCACGCTCATGACCACGCTCGTGAGCACGCTCAAGGTGCTAACACATTATTACCCCGGATAACCCAAGCTGCCTGTTAAGCGCTAGAAGGTTATAATCATACGACTTATCCCACCCGGTACCTATTTTCTGCTGGGTGAACAGAGACAATTTAGAACTAACTCACTTGCCTAAGGTGAGACCACATGTATCACATTGGGCTTCGTTGTGGGGCAGGACTGAAATCCTAGAAACTCTCAGAAATCAAGCTGCTAAACACGGTCACCCACCCAAGCACTCGTTGCGACCAGCGTTGCATAACTGAGCATAACTGATTTGCGACCTGAGCTATGTGCAAGGATGGTGACACAGTTACCAGTGCAACTGTTATGGGGTTGTAAAGTAATAAGTCCAAACCAGTTAGAAAATGATAAATTAGATGGTGTAAATATATTTTACAGGTTTCTACTTCCTAGTCTGTGGTTCCTCTACCAACATCAACATCATTACAGCCGGAAACCGCGTCAAATACAGCACACACGACTACGGCGTTGACGTCAAGAATATCTCATCGATTCTCTTCCGGGTCAAGGGATGCACGGATGGGAGGATAAATCTTTTGAAGGTCCTGACTTTACCGCTGACAAGGATGCATATGTTTTGCTCGGCGGATGGGGAAATCGTAAATGTGCAATGCATCCGTGCACTGGCTGTACAACTCTAGAATCGGTATGGTTCGCCTCCGTCTTGAACTGCAATGAAATGAGACCAATGTGGATGAACTGGACTAATAGATTGTTTAGCATTGGGAACGGGGCTTATGTTGGAGAAGAGACGTTCCTCTCCACAGATGAACAGAGGGACTTTGATATCCAGTATATGTCAGTTGGATCTACTTATGAAGACATATTTGACTGGGAATTCGGTAAGTTAAATCACAGCTCGGAGACACGGATGTGTCCTGAGGTTTTTGAATGGGACTTAGAAGTGATAAACATAAGGAACAGAATTGTATATATGGATTTCAACTTCTATATTGTAAGCAACCCATACCGTGTCGGATTATATACTTACTCCTTTTTTCAACTGATGAAGGAGTAAGTTTTCTCCGAAACGTAAATTTCATAAAAATTCTCTTCCTTATGCCCTGAGATGGTGCTGTTGCAGATATGTAGAAATGGAATTAATTGGATAAAACATTGTTTAGAACTGAATAGAGCTACTAAACGTTTGATTTACAGTCACCATATTACGTTTTGTTTGTTTGTTGTTTAACGCCGCTCTCAGCAATATTCCAGCTATATGGCGACGGTCTGTAAATCTACGCAATTGCGATACGATGACATGTGTCAAACAAGTCAGTTAATCCGGCCACCCGCCTCTTACGACAAGCATGGGTTGATGAAGACCAATTCCAACCCGGATCTTCACGGGTCCATATTTCTTAAAAGAGTAATGAGTTGCTCAGTAGTGAACTTTTCGAAAGCATATTTTCCTAAAGAAAAATATACAAAAATGTTGGGGATGTTTTATGACAACCTTCTGTTGTGGAAGTGCAATGAATCAAGCCAAGATGGCATGTCTTTAATCAAAATGTATCAATGTATTACATATGTTTTCCAAATAAATAAAACCGGTGTATGGCAGTATATTGTATTACAATACTTCAGTGTAAAACTTGAAAACTCAACTCACAGACATCATTTATAAGCATATTGTCCGGGTGTGAGAATGGCTTTGTAGTTTTCATTCACAAATGGAATACAATATAACCACTGTTGCTGTATTATCCAGTCACGTTCTGAATTCATTTCTAAACGAAAGAATATGTGCTTAGATAAAGTAAGGAAGAGTTATGTTCTTGAAAGGCATTAAGAAGTTGGACGAGCATGAATACATGACACGTTTTTATGGATAACAACTTCTTCACCATGATGAAGGAACAAGAATCAGGTCCGAAACGTCGTATATAGATTAAAAATGAGTTGTTAACCATAAGAATGTGTCATGTATTCATGGAGGGTTTGCAGTTTGATTTTCATACTATGCAGAAAGCAAAGATAACACACCAAAATGTGAAGACGAACAATCTTTTATGGATAGACAACTTTTTTATTGCAACAGATGCGACGTTTCTGTGTATATGCTAACAGTGTTATCAGGCAAACGTCACATCTGTTGCAATAAAGAAGTTGTCTATCAATAAACAAATGTTCCTCTTCATCATACCAGCTTCAAAATGCCACTCAAAGACGGTGATCCAACATCTGTCGCAAACTACACTCAACGAAATGGGATAAATCGTTTTATCGTAAATGTGTTGGGTTGGGTTCTTTTGTCAAAATAATGGTTAATATAACTTTGTTTAGATGGCTACGCCGGGAATTACTTTGAGCGGGTGGTGCCTTATGGTTGGAGTACACGCCAAACGTTGTCTTCAGTGACGGCCTCCTCCACGGTAAACTGCATCAAAAGTTGCCAAGGCAGGATCAGCTGTAGGTCAGTCAGCTACCAGAGCACAACCAACACCTGTCAGTTATACTTTGAACAATCACGATCCGCTGATATCCACCCTGACAACACTTGGGAAACGTGGATTGACAGAAATGTGTGAAAGATGCTCTCGGAGTCTACACAAGGCAATGAGACTGAAAATCAAAATTAGGTGCATCTTAGACATCTAGCAATACTGTCATCCAACAGTCCAGAAGACTCTGAAATACTCTGTGTACACACACACTCACGCACACATCCACACACACGCACATACACACACACTGAGGGAATCAACACTAAAGTAGCCTAATGACTTGTGACATTTACTAGTAGCATTGAGACATGACAGCCGAACTTCTTCAGAAAAAATCACTAACCTGTTCAATTTTTTCTCATACACAGTTTCCAAGGACAGTTCATTCATTTTGCAAAATTCCAGGCGGAAAAAGACTTCATGCATGTATATCATTTCATAATTTTTAATAACATTGCACTTTTTTCCGATCCCTTTCTTTTTGATACACTGCCATAGTGCAGTCATGTTTGGGTAATAGTGCTGATTTTATGGGGAAAACTTACATTTTAATTAACAAATCGTCTGGATCATATGAACGTTCAATTAAAGGCATTATGGTGTACTATTTGATTAATCTGAAGGGCAAGTTTATTATTTTGGTGACTATACACTCAACAAAATTAGAAACCTGACACATACATTATTGGTAATTATTGTGAGCTGGGGAATTCATTCACGAGGGGCTATCAAAACAGTTTGAGCCAAAAATACATCTGATATGTGCATGATAAAAATATCTGTATGATATTGAGAATGGTTTATATCATTCACATAAACGTAATATTGACATGCACATGTCGCTAGTTTCCGGTCACGGGACATCTAATCACATGTACCCCTTTTGAAATGGATGAAATGGATAAGCTTGAGTACAGAGCAGACATAAGGTTTTGGGTCCTTCGAGGGCCACCCGGCGAATCACAATGAAGAGCGATTGACAGCAGTACGAGTATAGTTACTTATATCATGCACATATCAGAGGTATTTAAGGCTCAAAACCTTTTGACAGCCCCGCATAGCTTTTTGTCGTGATGTGTGGAATTGGCTACCGAAGTGAAAAATGTGGTCATGGCACGCCAAAAAAGGGCTAAACACAACAATCACGTGCAGCGAGTCACATGATCACCTTATCAGTTGCACGTGCATGGAATGCAAACACACAGACATTGCTTAACAGGAAAACGGATCAACCTTACAAGCTAAGTTGCGAAAAGCGAGCATGCCGCGACTCACAAATCAGCAACATGAGAGTGTCAAGTGTAGGTTTAATGCTGGACAATCGGTAGCAGCATCTGCAAAAGCCCTGGGTTGTACATAGTCCTCAGACAATACACAGTCTGGGAAACCTGCATGCAAGAGACGGGCACCAGTGTACATCGCCCAAGGACTGAAGTACCGGATGTGACGTCACACCAAGATGGCGTACAAATTAGTTTACGTCATCTCCGCAACAGATTTGTGACTGCAGCCTCAACTAGCCGACCGTTGTTCAGAGGTTTAGTGTCAGCACAGACCATAAAAAGGCGATTGAGTGAGGGAGCACAGGCCATTAAGATGCGACTTGGTATGCTAGGGTGACCGATTTCGAGTAGACAGCGTAATGGTGTGGGGAATATTTTGTGCCAGCGGTCGAGTTCAGTTATGATTAGCATACAGGGGAATCGTACTGTATCGAAACCAGTTCCGTCCCCAGTTCTTCAGCCAGCCAACCAACTGCATGGTCCCAGACTGATATTTCAACATGACAACGCGCTCACTCGCAACTTCTTACCTAACGTCGGTGTTGATGTCACGGACTAGCCGTTCCGTTCCCCAGACTTGAACCCAATCGAACACATTTGGGATGAATTGGAGAAAAGGCGTGGGACAGCAGGTGAATAAAATCCAGACCTTGCAATTACTGGCATAACTCATTGACCAAAGGCAACGACTTCCCGTTAGAGTGTGCCGACAGGTTCTTGTGCCCATGAGGAGACGTGCTGCTGCCGCCACGGTCACCCTCGGCGATCACATTTGTAATTAGCTTCTTCTGTTTCAACAGTGTTATCAGTGTGAAGTTGGGAGTTGGGAGTCATAGAACGTTACACATTATCTTTTCCATTACAATGATACCGCAAGTGTAGTTTTAATTGTTTTATTGTTACCTGGATGATAGCAATATGATACACAACGTCATCTATTTTCATAACAATGCACACACTATTTTCACTGTGTCTTTCAATGAGACACTTTATTAAAATTTACTTGTGTATTTATTTTTCTCATGTGCGAATTTTAATGTATATTTTCCTTTTCCATCATCATTGGTGAATTGTGAATTTCCCATGGACAATATCATTTAATAACGTCAGCATTTCGGCTAGCTGTGGTCATATCGTTCATGGCATTAACTCAAAATAAACCCATACAGATAAAGTGTATAAGGGGGCGTGGGGCGGTGGGGTAGCCTAGTGGTTAAAGCGTTCGCTCGTCACGCCGAAGACTCGGATTCTATTCCCTTTATGGATACAATTTGGGAAGCCCATTTCTGGTGTCCTCCGCCATGATATTGCAGAAATCCTGCTAAAAGCGACGTGAAATTCAATTACTCACTCACAGGAGGGGGAGGGGGATTGGGGGGGTGAACAACTTTCTTTCCTCAAGTAGATAGCGTCAGTCTGACTGAATTTGATTGATTGCCCTTGGTAAACAAATTCCTCACTGTCGCTCGGCACTTGTTCACGACAATCCTGAGTTAAGTTAACTTACTAATGAAGTGCTTTGAGCGCCTCTGGCATGAACCTTGTACATGTAGTGACGTAGTAAGTGGTAATCCCCCACAGTTTATCAGCAAAGTGACGATTAACCGGTGTATTGGAGTAACCAAGCAATCATAAAAGCCTCGTTATAGTTTATTGCTATTATATTTATTCACAATGTCAAGGTCAACGTTTCACGCCTTTAACATAATGATTGTATGGAATGTTGTTATCTTTTTCACAATGTCAAGGTCAAAGATTGTTTCACAAATTTATCATAATGATTGCATGGAATGTTGTTATTTTTCTAGTATTAACAGAAACAGTTTATGAAAAGACATCTAGAAATACTATTTGTCTTGAAATATCATTTTCAATTTTCGATTAGGCTTGTTAGACTTATCAGACGATTTTCAGTAGAGAGAAGTTTAAGAATGTGTCCATTATGTAGAAGATGAAATTCACTTCGCTTTTGTATACCCACATTTATGCTGTTTTAAGAAAAAATATATCCCAAATTATTATCTGTTAAATAATCCTTCAACTACATTTGTTTCTATTCTATACGTAACCTAGCGCTTTATGTAATGCTGTTATGCTTAGAAGCAATCTCTTATCTGAACTGTAATTTGTTTTGTGAAATGTCTGTAACATGTGCTGTAAGTATTCTCGTAATACTTGAATATGGACCTGAGGCCTTAAGTACATTAAACATCTTTGACTTCGACTTTGACTTTAAAAACACAATGGCAATTAGAAAGTGGACAAATGTAACATATGTAATATTTGGGTTTACAATTTCTCAGTAAAGTACAGATTCGAACCCACACTCTCAGAGTCGGGCCCGGAGAGCGGAAGGTCGCGGATTCGAACTTGCATTTTAAATAGTTTCCAAGGATATCATGGATGTTTCCCTCTCTGAAATATTCTCTCTCTCACCTTTTGTACATTCAGCAATATATTAATCTGTTTCTATTCGCTATTTCTATGCTATATATTCTAATCTACGACGCTTAAATTTTGCACACAACGAACGTCTGTGTCCCATGTGTGTTATTCCTATTCTACAATCTGAATACCATTTTTGCCTTGAATGTATGTTCCATCAAGATATGCGAGCATCTCACTTACCACGTTTTTTATCGTGTATGCCCTTCTGGAAACATGTTAGCCCTACTGTTGACTTCTCAACATAATATTTTTATAAACAACCTTGCTAAAGATATATTCTTAGCTATGGAAAAAGATACGAAGTATTTTGCATCATGTTGATCTTGTGTTATACATTCACACCTCCAAGTCCATTTCGTCACTTTTATGGCGCTTCATGTCATATCTTTAAACTGTTAGATATATGTGTGTGTGTGTGCGCGTGTGTGCGTGCGCGCGCGTGTGCTTGCGTGTGTGTGCGCGTGCTTGTGTGTGTGTGTGTGCTTGCGTGCATGTGTGTGTGTGTTATGGGCCGAGGATTCAAAGCCAAGATAGGTGTGTTTAAGTGTGAGGAAATAACGCGTTCCATTTATATACCCAAGAAAAGTCTAGAAAAAGGTTTGAGGACATTCCAGCACTGTCTAAATATAGTACAAGTCTAAATATAGCACACCACTGTCACCCACTGATTCTACAGATACAATGCATAACAGACGAAACATTGAATACACAATGCCATTTAGAAAGTGGTCAAATGTAACATGTTATATTTGTGATTACACTTTCTAAGTAAAGTACTTTTTTTGAGTTGAGTCCCATCCGCGAAACATTGTTCCACAACGTATAACACTGCTTCGTGACAACAACAACAACACCAGTTACAGTAACTGGTATCGAGTATCGTATGTTTATATGACAGAAAAACAGTAAGCTAAACTACGGATAAAATGAACTCAGGGGGGACTACTAATTTCACTTTCCGGCTAAAATATACAGCAAGTGGCCTGGACCAGACACATACTTCGTTATATCCGTCATTTCGTTTTAAGCGTGTTCGCTATAAACATTGTTTACTGTATACGGTTTAAATCCTCTCGTCAATATGTGTGACTCTGGACCTCGTCTTAAATAACACGCAGGTTAAATTTGTGGATAGGGTTTAGGCCAGTCATATGCTTGCTTATGCTTTCCAATTGTGATCCCATTCTTGGTCATCTGGGCGCCGATCCACAAAGCGTTCGTAACATTACGACCTGTCGTAACAATAGCGTGTTCGATCGTTCGATCGGAAACTGGTCTGCCTCAATAGTTTTCGAAGAAATATCGTAAATGTATTAGTAAGAAAATTATTGTTAATAAATACTTAACTCCAAAATATATGTGACCAATTGCATGTCGATATCCTAAACAGAATTTGTGCCATATTATCAGTGGACATCACTCAATATAACATAACTCTTTCTTGTTTGGTCTCAAAAGGTTTGTAAATACGTTTTAACTTTGCTAAAGACCATGCTATACTTATTTAAGATTGAGACCGGGTGGTCAGACTCGCTGACTTGCTGAACGCTAACTGTGGCGTGGCGGCAAACACTGGATTGTCTTGTCCAGAGTATAAGTCGATTATTTACAAACCTCAGTCACATAGCTGGAGATCTGCTGAACGCGGCGTTAAACATCAAACAAAACAAATATAAGTTGTATGAAGCATGCCACGAAGTTATAATCTTTATTTTCGGTACAGTGGTGTGGGCCATAAGCCCTGTGTACAACATGGTCCATATACAGTGATACGTTACAAAGTACTTATACAAGTACACCAAGGCGGAGATTTAGGGCACGGAGGATATACCAAGTCAATATCCAGTGATACAAAATTTACAAGGCACTAATACAAGTACATCAATGCATGGAAAGTATAACAGTCAATATTCGGAGATACAACTGATTTTACAAAGTACTGTCAACGCGCGGATACGCGTCGACTGGGGAATTAGCTTGTGTTTAAGATGAAGTGTACGTACAATACGTTGACAAGACGAAGGAATACGCTGAGTTCAAACTTCTTTAGTTACATGACAAACAAATACACAAGACATAAATGTGGTGAGCGGAGTACCTGCTCAACCCCAGGGCGTTTCCTACGAGCGGCATTATCCTGCTCGCGGTCGTCCCTACACAGACAGTCGGAATACCGGACGCGTTCTGTTTTCCTTCACAGTCTAGATGTGAGCATACTAAGTATATATACAGTTTTTGACAACAATGGACAGGCGACGACTCAGCAATAGACAGACAGAAAAACAATAGCACTTCCTTGACCAGTTGATGTAATGGCAGACACGGCCAAGGGGAATGACCAATTACGTTATAAATGTCATATACAGTAATTAATTGCCTGACAAGTCAATGTACAATGCGGAAGTGATAAGGATTACATGGAATACAGACTAGCATCATATAAATAATTACAATAAAGTATCACATGTCTTGAGTGCATAGTTTTTACATTTTAAATATTTGGACGATGGCTGTCCTGAATTAGTCCCTATAACAGTACTTATAAATGTGTACCAAAGCATGGAAGATATAACATTTGATTACGGTGATGCATAATTTTACAGGGTACTATACAAGTACATCAATGTATGGAAGGTAAAACAGTCCATATGCGGTGATACATGATAAGCATTTTGAAAAAAAGACTACACCTAGATATTTATATGCAGGGAGACATTGCAACTAGACACCCTTATAAAACCACTTTTCGTGTTCAGATAGAACACCACCACCTTTGAATACAACAGCTTATGTCTTATCCATATTAATAGCTAAAGAGTAGTTATCACAATATTTTTAAAGAGTATCAATCCTCTTTTGTAACCCAAATATGGTGTCAGAAATAAGAACTACATCATCAGCAAATAAGAGTAATAACATTTGATTTATATCTGGGTGGAGCTGTATACGGTGGTCACACTCCGACTCTATACCGAAGCCAAATCATTAATAAACAGCCTGAACAATAACGGGCTTACGATACAACCCTGTTTTAACCCAAGATCATAGCCGTAAATATCTGAAAAACTGTTATGAAATTTCACACAAGCATATATCTTATCTTATAGATAGACTAAATACACGTATACATTTTTGGGATATACCATTTGTATTCATGACCGCCCAGAGCTTAGACATGTTAATTGAATCAAACGCCTTGGAAGGAAAAGTCTGCAAATAGAGTAAGTGCCAGACAAGCTTAGTGCCCATTATTCTACAACTTAAAGGCTCCAGGTACTCCGTCAGCTGAGCGACAGTTCGAGTGATCGTCCATTACTTGGCCGAGCGCGAGTGACGTCAGACAGACAAGATCCGAGCAAAGATTCCCACGTGCAACCATAACTGCTGACGGCAAAGAGCTCGACAAGTTAGCGGTCCAACAATTCGACGTTGGTTACGAAATGTAAATCTCAACTTCCGTCAATCCTACGTGTCCAACGTCAATTCAACATCATCGCCGAACACGTCCACGATCAGCCAAATAGACACCGGAGAAAGGTTGTCTTGATAAAATCGTTTCTACTTTGCCCAGGCCAATGTTGGATTAAGAGACACCAGGCCGAGAGAACGTCCTCGCGTTTCTTTGCCAGTGAGTGAGTGTGGTTTTACGCCGCTTTGAATATAATATAATATGTCACTGCAACGGACGCCAGAAATTGGTTTCACATGTGTAATACAGGTATCAAACCCCGGCCCCGATTTCTCGAAACAAACCTAAGTTTTTACTCAATTTCAAACTGAGTTTGACAACTTGAAACAGCTGAATTTTTAACTCAACTGCATTTTTAAAATATAAAAACCCAAACAACTTAAGTAATCTATCCTCAAAACTCAAATTGTATACTAAGTTTGAGTTTAATCATCGATTTCAGTTTATTCTGGGAAATGCATTTTCCAACATTTTCTCAAGTTTGAGTAAAATCTCTAACTTAAGTCAAAACCCAGACTTAAGTTTGTTTCGAGAAATTGGGGCTGGGTCTGTCGCGTCATAAGTTAACCCTTAAACTACCTCACCGTCCCATGGAGTTATGTCGTGGCTTGACAAGTTGATATGTTCAATGCTGCTCTCTTAAAATACACCTGTTAAAATCCGGGTTACAATTGGTCACCAGTAACCCATGCTTGTCGTAAGAGGAGACTAACGGGATCAGGTGGTCGGGCTCGCTGACTGGGTTGACACATGCCATTGTATCCCAATTGTGCGGATCGATGCTCATGCTGTTGATCCCTGGATTGTCTGGTCTAGACTTGATTATGTACAGACCGACGCCATATAGCTGGAATATTGCTGAGTGTGGCGTAAAACTCAGCTCACTCAAAGTTGCAAGGTCTCTCGATGGCTTAACGCAGGCATTAGCAAGAACCACTGAATTGATTGTTGGTCCCAGTGTATCTATTACTACAATCAAAGATTTCATAGACTAAATGATAGTATGGAAAACAAGTGCGGGGAGTTCACAGTGTCCATAAATACGGTCACAAATACAAAGAAAGACATCCATTTACCGAGAAGAATTTAATATGAAGGCAGCATCACGAACTAGATACATACATACATTTAAGAAATTAAGGAACAAAAATGTCTACCTATTTCATCGAGATAATTCATGTGCGATCTTTGAAACAAAATTCGCATAACATCAAGGCACTAGTAAGGGTAAATACCCAAGCCTTTTAAGTCCTTCCATGAATCAATTTTAAGCATTCTAAATTCTTAAAAGCATGCCATCTTCATAATCCGAACTTGGCGACCAAAAAGGTTGATTTCAAACAATGAGTAATTAATTCGATATGGCCTTCTTCGTTTGGTCAGGGATCGAACCCAGAATGTTTTGGATGGCGTTGAAGGAGGAAATATACTGCGTGCCTCTGCTCGGTCTCCTTAATCCCAGCTGTGCCTCTTGGACCAGACACTGAAATATGTCCGACATATCAGAGCCCGCTTTCGCTGAAACCATCAAATGCTGGACGGCCCATCCGGTTTCCAGCTGATTGGATATAGCGTCGGCTCCCTTGAACCATGAGGATCGGGGTAGGTCCGCTTTGGTCTCCACAACAACAACAGGGACCCCGGCCTGCTTCTCGTCGAATATCATCTCGCGAAGTCTCGCAACTTCCCGAAACGATGCCGCATCGTCTACGCTGTACACTAGCACAAAAGCATCACATTCCTCAATGGTCTTCTGTCGGGGCTCGTCAAACTCATCGCCGCCAGGAACATCGGTCACCTGCATTTCCAGCTCACCCTCGTCCCATTCGTTCTCAAATATATACATATCCCCACCCGACGGCTCGTAATAATCCGAGAACACGTGGTCGAAGAAGCGATTCAAGATGGCGGTCTTACCGACCGCTGGGCTCCCCATAATCGCCACCTTCAGTCCTCCGTTATTTAACTCCATCCTTTCCTGTGCTTTCTGGGTCATCACTATACCCTGTTGCTGGACCTTATCAATTATATATATATATATCACAAGCAACTGTGTATACTGTAAAATCAACCTTGACGAAATTCAAAAAGGCGTAGAGTTTTACCAGACTGGTTGAAGCAGGGATAATGTACAAAACGCTATATAGTCTCCCTGGTTGAAGAGAATGTTTCCTGGCTCAGGAGCGTACGGTAAATATCTGGTATTGCAACCAATCAAATGCAGTAACGTCATAGAAGAACCTGCTTTTTTTAGAATTTTGTTTATAACGTGTCTAGCAGCACGCGCGAAAGAATTTCAACAGCTTGTAGAGAAGGTTGCTATCGGAAATGGCTTCATTCGTGATGAGGCGCCCAACTTCTCGTCACAATTGAAACGGATTGGTTTCGTGAACAAAATGAGTCAATTGCACCACGTGTATCTTTGCTTTGCACGTTTTGTTTGTTTGTGTGTTTTGTTTAACGCCGCATTCAGTTATCTTCCAGCTATCTGGACCAGACGATCCAGTGATCAACATCATGAGCATCGATCTACGCAGTTGGGATACGATGCCATATATGTCAACCAAGTCAGCGAGCCTGACCACCCGATTCCGTTAGTTGTCCATTACGACAAGCATGGGTTGCCGAAGTCCAATTCTAATCCGGATATCTACGGGTCCTTTGTACGTTTACATAGATACTTTGTATATATAAATATAAACGTCAGTGAAAAAGAATACTAAGTCTAGACTACCCGCACTAATCACTGCCGTCGAGAAATCCATATTTGGTATTGATTTGGTTAGAATAAAAGCAAAACTCCGTCAGGTATTTCCAGTTTTTCTACTCTATAGTTTCTTTTGGGTTTTGCAGAATACAAAATCCATCAAAGAAAAAAAAATACAAGGGAATATTTTATCAAAGACATTCTGATGGTTTGTCGTGTATCTGTACAAACATAAGAGGACGAGTGAGTGAGTTGGGTTTTATGCTGCTTTTAGCAATATTTCAGCCACATTACGGCGGGGGACATCAGAAATGGGCTTCACACATTGTACCCATGGGGGGGATAGACCCCGGTCTTTCGGCGTGACGAGCGAACGCTTAAACCACTAGGCTACCCCACATGCCCTGTAAGAAGACGAACAGATTGCAGACTTCTGGTTGCGCATGGAACCCAAGAGGAAGTGTGCTTTAAGAGCTCTCCCAACCCACGGATGATTTGGCTTCATTGCAGTTTATAAGTCTTGCATAAAATCTTGAACAAACCGCCTACTCAATATTTTGGAAGATTCTGTAATCTCTGGACAACATATGTATTAAATTTCATTTTCCTCACGAAGTGTGAACCTACAATGAATATCCGGCAAGGGCAACACGTGCATCGGTGCATGATGGAGGAAATTGTCTAAAACTCGGAAAAAGGTTAGCTGCTCTTATTTCAAGTTGTAAAACGGACTTACAAGCCTCTGTTGACTCTATTAAAACTGAGATATCAGACATTAAGCAAACTGTTAGTGGAATGGGTGTGGTTTCGCAACATGGCGACGACTTGATATCTCTCCCCAAGGAAATGGCCGAGTTAAGAGAAGCCAAATCAGTTCTGGAGAAACAAGTTATATCCATCACCGGAAACCAAACCTCTTGTTCTACGGTATTATAGAACAAACACAAGAAAAGACCGAAAGAACATTGAGAATTTTTTTAAGGTGAATTCACACAGGTTCACTGAGGACCGAGTAGACAATATATACATGTACTTTAAAATGATTTAAAAGACAACGCAAGCCATCTGACCTGTCCCAATAATCGCTACTTTTATTATATGTAGGACCGAGAAGCAATATACGGCGCTCGTAATTCTTGAAAGGAACGTCATCAAGTATCCAAGTATCCAATCATCACAGACTACCCAAGTCTGAGTATCAAAGACAACGCAAGCCATCTGACCTGCCCCAATAATCGCTACTTTTATTATATGTTGTACCGCGAAGCAATATACGGCGCTCGTAATTCTTGAAAGGAACGTCATCAAGTATCCAAACTGACCTACCCGCATTCATGAAAAAGCGTAGGGCAATTAAGTGACGGCAGTCGCAACAAAAGCTGTGGACACGTGTTAGGGTGGTGGGTGCTGAGATTGTCTTGGAAACACGGGATCCTAACATTCCGGCTTCGATGTGGAAAAATATGACTGAAATATTATTGTATCACTGACAACCGCCCCCATCACATCGGGAAAATGTTTACATTTATCAGTGCTTTCAAACAACTGTTAAAAGAGCTTAAATATATTAGTCCTTTTTTCTCGTCAAAACGCTCTCCCGCCCATTTACTTTTCCGCGGCATAACTTACTTACTTTTGTGGGAGACCAGTTGCTCTCTCCTTATATGCATATAAACATTAATAGATACGATATGGACGCCACTAGACAAATAAACAATATAAGTGGTGTGGCAACATGTGTGGCTTAGCCGCTACACGCCAGCACGTGTTTTCATGACGTCTGTACACGTGGTCTGGTTGTGGATGACTGTGTTCAGTTCTTCTCTGTGTTTTTGTGAGATCTATGTGTGTGTGTGTTTTTGTGTTTCTTTCGTGAACTCCCATTGGATTTCTGCCACTATTCTGTGTTCGAGGAGGTTTTCTTCAATTTGGACACGATAATGCATGTCTAGTTTAATCTGTATATGTCCCTTTCTGTTGTTATATACTGAAGGGACAAAATAAGGGATCACATGAAAGCACAACTTTTTCCTTTATGTGTTTCCAGGTTTCTTCACAAGCGTTGTATCGCATAGCTTGTGAAGAAACCTGAAAAAAAAGAACACTTGTGCTTTCATGTGATCCCATATTATTCTCCTCAGTATATATCATCCGTGGGTACTGGGAATATGAGTTGTCTTCATGTCATGAACTGTTCACATAATTTGTAAATCATAATGCTTGTTGAATTGTAACCCGTATGTCCTTTGATGAGTTTTCTGAATAGTCTGTAAAATATCTTTAAAAACAATAAAAGTATTTTTTTAAATATTTCAGCAACATCACGGCGGGGGACATCAGAAATGGGCTTCACACATTGTACCCATTGGGGATCGAACACTTTAACTATTAGGCTACCCCACCGCCCCTGTAAGAGGACGAACAGATTGCACGTGTGAATAGAAAACAGATACGGCTTGTACCAAATCATCTTCGTTTCTGCGTCCTCGTCTCAAGCCTTGATGCTAAGCCGTGTATCGTCAGAGGGTAGCAAGATGGTAACTCTCCTTAAAACAAGGAAGTGCTACACTTATAACAACCCGCATAAGACACTTTTAGAAGAATTTATTGCGTTAATTTAAGAGCAATTACTTCATGTCATTTCAATTATAACAAGGTGAACATTGACACGTCTCTAGACAATGAGTTCGACAAAACATCAAGATGGCGTCAAAGTCAGTACTTTGGCCACCACTGGCAGCAATTACTGCTGGCACTGTCGCGGCACACACTGGCTAAGTCGATGGAATTCTTCCCCACTCTTTCTGCAATGCGATGTGCAGTTGTGGAAGTATCTGAGGCGTGTTTTGACGTTGACGTACACGTCGATTATGTTCATCCCATAGGTGTTCTATCGGTTTAGATCTGGCGACCGGGAAGGCCATGGCAAGACGTTGACGTTAGAATTGGCAAGGTAGCCTATGGCGATGTTTCGATTTGGGGCACTCAGTCGTGGCATGATGATTTCCACTTTTCCAAGCAAAAACAAAGGACAAGCTTAAACACAACGTTTGCCTTTTTATAGTGATCGAATTCGTTTCCGCTTACTTGCACGTGCAGTTTGCTTTGCATGTTTTGGCGAATATTTCTTCAAACGCTTCTAAAACAAGGGGAAAAGTTAAAATTTGGAGCTTAAGATGTTTATAATCACACAAAGATGACGTTTTGAAAAGAAATAGTATATTTGTATTGTTTTTTGCCGCAGCTACATGTGTCCATTATTCTCAAAATCCCCTATGCGTTTCTTTTTTTCTTTGAAGAGTGTATTTCTGGCACATGGCACACCTTAGTGACCATGGTAACATTTTATCACGCTATAGACAGTGGTGACAATTAAGACCTGAAAATAGACCACCTGACGCACCCCACTATGAAGGTGTGAACAGAGCTGTGTGGTCGGAGGTGTCTCTTTATTCAGTATGCACTGTAGGCCATTGACTTATTGTACATTTATGTAGTCAGGCCCAAAATGGACGTAAAGAGTATCTGATCATAAAGACTTATGGCATGGAACATATACAAGTATTTTAATGGTTTGAACATCCGTTGATGACAACATGTTAAACATGTAGGATGAACAAATTATGTTCCTGGAATTTATTTTTATTTTTATATGTCTAAGATTATTATATGTTCCAAGAAAAGATTTGGTGAGTGAGTGAGTTTAGTTTTACGCCACACTCAACAATATTCCAGCTATATGGCGGCGATCTGTAAATAATCGTAAATAAACAATCCAGTAATCAACATCATGAGCATCGATCTACACAACTGGGATACCAGGAGCTGTGTCAACCAAGTCAGCGAGCCTGAACACCCGATCCCGTAAGTCGCCTCTTACGACAAGCATGGGTTACTGAAGATCAATTCTAACCCGAATCTTCACAGGTTTACACGAAAAGAAGATTGTTTTTCATTAGACCTGTTTGGCAGAGATGTTTGGCAGAGATTTGATGCCTCTGGTGAGACCTTTGAAGTGCATTTAGAAGTGGAATGCATAAGAAAAGAAAGATGTATGGATGTCAACTTCTTTATTGCGAATAACACGACGTTTCACGATCATTCACCTGATGAAGGAGCAAGCATACACTCCGAAATGTCGTGTTATTCACAATAAAGAAGTTGACATCCATAAATCTTTCTTTTCGTATCTGATAAGGTAAATGACAACAGCAGAATCCTTTATGTATATTGATAATAGAAAGTTTAACTTCAGTAATTCATTAGGTTATGCCCACGACCAAATGCAG